GTATGACCAACTATAAATACAGCAACATAGAAAAATCTTAGAAATATAATGCTGAATTTAAAAAGAACACTTTAGAAGACTACTACAGCACGATATCCTTTTTATAAAGTTAAAAACAAGCACAACTAGACATAGTGTTTACTGTATGTGGTAAATTATTTTTCAGAGAGTTGTGTGTGAACACACAACTCAATTTACTTATTACTTTTAGGAGAGGGGTAGGCAGTGGGATGAGATGGTGAAGGAACTTAGAGGTGGCTTCAATAATATTTTTAATATTCGAATTTTAAGTTTGTTGGTCAGTTCATAGGTGTACATTAATTATTATGCTTCCTAATTTCTATTTTGTTATATTTTTCTTTTGTATGTATGGTATGAGACACAATAACTTACATTTTTTTTCAAATGGACCAAATATTTAAATGTAAACAATGAAACTATAAAAGGACCAAAAGAAACCACAGGAGAAATTTTTAAAAATAATTTTGATGTGAGAAAGACCTTTCCAAATATGACAAAAATCCAGTGTACTTAAAAGATTGAGGGGTTGGACAAGTTTCACCCTAAGAAAAGTTACAAGATAACAACCAACTAGAAAAAAATCTGTGCGATTCATGCAAAGGGCTAATTTCCTTAATATATACTCCTACCAATCAACAACAAAAGTCAATCCTTCATAGGAAAAGCAGCAAAGGAAATGAAGAGATAGTTCCCAGAAAAGGAAATACAGAGCGTTTAGATACCTGAAAGGGTGCTCAACCTCAGAGTAAGAGAGATGAAATTCACCAGGATACCACAGTTCACTTTGATGATGGAGAAAGACAAAAAATGGTATGGCGGCCACTGCTTGTTGCAATCATTTCTCAATCCCAAGATCGCTTGCCTTCACTCCTTGAAGATTTTCCTGCAGGATCACTATCTATACTCTTGAACAATGATCCTGTCATAATTCTTGGTGATTTCAGTATCACCATAGATAGAGAATTCTTCCAAAACATTCTCCTCTGCATTCCTCAAGCATCTCTCCTTCAATGACCTTGTCTCTACCTTTCCTTGGCCACATCTTACTGATAAATACAATCTCCCCGAATAATCCTACCTACAGACCACCCATGGTCTAATCATCTTCTAAACTCCAGCTCAACTCCTTTCTGGTACCTCAACTCCAATAATTGTTTGGCCCCATTAGAACCTACATTCCATTCATCCTGCCTTCTCTTCACCTTCCCATATTCCTCTCCCTAGCCCTTAAATTTCTTGTTCCATTTTCGTAAACACCCTTTGCATGTTTCCTTGTACTCACCTGGCAAACCCTTAACTCTGCATATATGTGGCCACTCACCTGTCCTGCACCTGCACTCTCCTGCAGCTCAGCATGGCTGAAGAAATTTCTTACTTTAAATTTATGACCCCAAACCTCAGGCAGGCCCTTAGTGCTGCTTGGCAATCACACGACATTTCCATGGTCCACTTACTCTCCTGGATGCCTGTTTTATGCCCTAGTGTCTCCTTCCCCATCCTCATGTTCAACTGTTGACCTGGCTTTCCATTTGACAGAGAAAACAAAGCAATCGAGAAAGGACATCTGCGAGCTCCCACATTGTATGTCCCTATTTGCCCCCTTCTGGGCCTAGGCTCTCTGACTTCCTTGCTCTGGCCATGGCTAGCTGTCTGTGCTCCCAGCTAAACCATGCCCTTCACTGGCTACAGGACATGGCTCCAGCAATTTCCCCCTCTATCTCCTGCATCATCATTTCCCCCTTTCCTACTGGGTTTTCTCATCAGCGTCTGAAGAAGCTGTATTTTTTTCCCTGGGCCTTACACTGTGCTGCTGCCACCACCTCACTTCTCGGATCCCTTTACAGCAAAACTCCCAGGGTTCCTCTGTTCATTGCCTCCGGTCTCTCTTCTGTTCTCAGACACCTCTCCCACCAGACTTCTGCCCCTCCTCTCTACTGAAATAGCTGTTGCTGAGGTCACCAATGTCCCCCTCATTGCTAAACGTAAGGGTCAATTCTTGGTCTTTTTATCATCTCCACAAGCGCCGCTTGAGGCAGCTGACTGTTGCCTCCTTTTTGGAATGTTTTTTTTTTTTTACGATTTTATTTATTTATTTAACATAGAGAGGGAGAGAGCAAGCACAAGCAGGGGGAACAGCAGGCAGGGGAGAAGCAGGTTTCCCGCTGAGCAAGGAGCCCGACGCGGGACTTGATTCCAGGACCCTGGGATCATGACATGAACCGAAGGCAGACGCTTAACCGACTGAGCCACCCAGGCACCCCAACCTTTTTGGAACAGTTTCTTATCTGGACTTCTAGAACACCCCAATCCTCTGATTTCCCTTTTACCTCCCTGGCTGTTCCTTGTCATTCTCTTTCACTGGCTCCACATCTCCATGGCCTCTAAACACTGGACACCCCAGGATTCAATTCTTGGACCTCTTCTGTTTTCTTCCAGCCTTCATTCCCTGGATGATTTCATTCATTCAGATTTAGATCTGCAGCATGGACCTTTCCCTCGAGATCTGTACTCATGTTTTCAGTCGCTTTTCATCACCCCCATGGACGTTTGGTAAGCATCTTAACACCAAACTCCTGATCTTCCTCCTCCCAAACCTGCTTGTCCTGAAATCTCTTCCTCCTCAGTAAATAGGAACTCTGTCTTTCTAGGTTGATCAGGTTAGACATCTGGGATATGTCTTTGACTCCCCCCACTCTCTGTCACTTTGTCTCTCCTTCCATAACAAATTTCGTTAGTTCTGTCCATGAAATATGTCCAACCACTTCCTGCCACCACCTCCTAACACCCCCTCTATAACAGCCTCCACCTCTTCTCATCTGGATAACTGTACTGGCTTCTTTTTTTTTTTTAAAGATTTTATTTACTTACTTGAGAGAGAGATTGAGAGAGAGAGAGCACATGAGAGGGGATAGGGTCAGAGGGAGAAGCAGACTCCCTGCTGAGCAGGGAGCCCGATGCGGGACTCGATCCCGGGACTCCAGGATCATGACCTGAGCCGAAGGCAGTCGCTTAACCAACTGAGCCACCCAGGCGCCCTGTACTGGCTTCTTAACTCATCTCCCTGCTTCCACCCTTGCCTCCTACAGGTCATCGGCAACACACGAGCTAGAGCGATCTTGCTAAAACATAAATCAGGTCATTTCATTCTTCTCAAACACCTCCCTGCCGCCCCTGGCTTCCATGCCATTCAGAATAAAAGCCAAAGTCCTTATAACGGTCTATATGCAATTTACAAGGCCCTGTCTGCATGGTCTTGCCTTCCTCTGACCCCATCGTTGGTTCCCTCACACCGTCTCCTCCCACGGCCCCCCTCGCTCCAGTCCCCTGTGCTTTCTTGCTGTTCCTTAAACACAGCAGGTCTGCTCCTGCCAAGAATATTCTTCTCCTGGGTTCAAACATGGCTCACTCCCTTCCTTCCTTCAGGTCTTGGCTCAAGGGTCATCTTTTTAGGGAGGCTTTCCTTAAACACTCTAAAATTGCAATCCCCCCTTCCTCGACACCGTCTGATCTTTCCTGATGCTTGCTTTTTCTCCTTAGCTGTTACCAATCTAACACGATCTACGTTTCATTCATTCCATTCACGTCCATCTCCCCTACTAGATCGTAAGCCCATAAACACAAGCCTTTTGTCTGTTTTGGTCACTGCTTAATCCACAGAATATAGAAGAGACCCTGGCACAGAGTGAATATTAAAAAAAATTTTTTTGGTTGAATGAATAAACAACGTATTTAATTGGCCAGAGTGCGGGCAACAGGCATTCTCAAAACTGCCGGTACGAATACCAATTGGTGTAACCTCCGCAGAGGGCAAACTGACAATAACTATTAAAATTATAAACGCACATCTCCTCTGACCCAGCAATTCTGCTTCTATAATAACCTTCCTATGTGTGCACCTATGTGCAAAGTGACACAGGGACAAAGTAAGTCACTGCAATGTATTTTATCTCCGAAAAGGAACAAAAACGGCCAAAATGTCCAGCAATGGCAGACTATTGAAGAAAATTAGAGTTTATCCATACCGTGGAATATTTTGCTGTAGCAAAAAAGAAGAAAGAGACTTCTTGTGTCCTGATACAACCTCCCAGATATACACGTTTCTTGGGATAAAGGAAAGGTGCTTGCAAAGTACATTTCATATGCCCTCAGTTTTAGAAACACAAAAGGAAATGTACAAAAAGAATATGTATCTATATTTTCTTGTCTATGGGCAGACAATGTCAAGAAAGATGCCCAAGAAACTGCTAACAAAGGTTGCTTATCTGGAGAGCAATGGATGGGTGAGTTGCCGAGGTGGCAGCCTTTTTGCTATAAACTCTTCTAAACTTGAATTTTTGCTCCTGTGAATGTGTTCTCTATTAAAAGGAGAATAAAGCAGGGTTTATGTTCCAATATGGAGCGATCTCTAAGTTGTATTGTTACAGATTTTTAAACAGGTACGGTACAAAAGTCTGCCGTAGTAGGGGTGGGAGTACTCTTTTGTACCTTTTGAATTTTGTACCTTACATATGCATTTGCTCTTCAAAAAGAAATAAAATAATTTAAAAGAATCATGGCGGGAGAATGCATTTTTACATGCATCACCTTGACAGTCCTGCGACTGAAACCTGCCAAGTATGTCCCCACTTTTCAAATGAAGGAAACGAAGTTCCGAGAAGTCAAGTCAAGCAGCGCAGAGGTGGAAGTGGAGCGGGGAACAGAACACGGCCTTCCTTCCCTGCGTTTCCCATACCAGCCCCTCTGGCCTCCCAGCCACTCTCTGGGCTGGGGTTCACTTCCTCCCCACCCCGCCCCCACGCCCTGCCCTGGGAAGCAGAACTCGGAAGCCCAGCCCCAGGAAGTCTGCCACCAGGGGCTTCACGCAGAGGCAAGGGGGGGGGCGGCTCCCTGGTGTCCGGCAGTTTCTCTCTGCTTCCAGCCACCAATGGGGGGGGGGTCAGCCCGCTGTGGCCTCCCAGGGCCTCCTCCCCAGCCCATACCTGTCAATAATGACCGGGTCAGAGGGCGTCTCATTCCGGTTGCCACAGCTCTTCCGGTCACAGCACCGGCTGGGGGAAGAGGAAAGAGGGAAGGAGGAAGGGAAGGAAGGAGAAGGGGTGTGTGTGTGTGTGTGTGTGTGTGTGTGTGTGCGTGTGTGTGCGCGCGCGCGCGCATTCATCCGGTTGAGGATGCTGTGTCCTGTCTCTGAGTATGGAATCCCTGATGGGAGGACTCACTCCCAGGAGCCTGGGGAAGAAGGGTCCGTCGCAGGGAGCTGGACAGCCCAGTTCTGAATGTAAAGTGGGCCAGGAAACCCTTGTCCCAAAGGCATGCTGCTCCTGGAGGATTCAGGAAAGGCAGGCTGCAGGCCACCTCTGGGGTCTCTCTCTCTCATACAGCAAAGAGCTCGGATTGTAAGCATACAGCTCAGGAATTATCAGAAAGTGAACCCCCGTGTAACTGGCACCCAGACCAAGAAAGACCACATGATCAGTGCCCCAGAAGCTTCCTCACGACCCTGCCTTGTCACTACTCTTTCCAAAGGCAGCCAGTGTCCCGACCCGATTTTTGAACAGCGTTCTCTTTTCCATGCAAGAGGAACTGCTTCTCAGGACCCTGTAGGATGGGCATCTCCTGGGGAGACCTTCCCTAGAAAAGCCGAACTCTGGGGTAACAGGGACCAGGAGCCAAGAACTGAGTCTGCCCCACCCCCCCTCCCCTAGAGAGCACCCTGAGGCTCACCCAGGAGGCAGCAAAGTTTCCTCTCTTTAGCTTCTGAGCTAATCCGGGAGGCCCAGCCCTGCCCCCACTCCTCAGCAAGCCTCCCCTGAGCTTTATTAGTTAAGCTTTCCAGTGGTGGCAGGAGGCCTCTCTTACAAAAACACTTGGAGAAGCCACATAAACAGGCCAGGCTAATGGGGCCTCAAGGACCCTGTCTTCAGCCAGCACTGTGCTCAAGGGCCTCTCTAATCCCTCCCCGCCTCCCCCAACCAGGCTTCCCCAGGGAGCTTCGAGGAGGGGGGTGGCAGCAGTGGTCAGGGGCAGGGCCCAGTGGGGACCAAGGGGCAAAGGTGCAAGTGTCCCAAACCTCACCTGCACATGATTTCATGGGTGAGTAGCACTCGGCACATTTCGGGGTTCTTGTCCTGCCCCTCATAGATGATGGCCTGGGGGGAGAGGAGGAATGCACAGGCTCAAGGGGAAGGGGGCAGCTCTCAAGTCCAAGTGTAGGGGAGAGATGGGCCCTGCTCTGGGGCGCCAAGAAGGCAAAACAGGAGCTGGGACCTGGTCTTCCCAAACCAGGACCCCCACCGGGGGCTGCGGTCCGCAAGAGCGGCATGAGGTAGGTCTACAGATTCTGTTTGTCCACAGGCAGCTTTTTCCAGAGCCAGCTCTGTTTGGGGCCGGGGAGGTCCCCAGGCCACAAGGTCAGGCTGTTGGTGGGGTAGACACACTCCTATCTCCACTGTTCCCATGCCCCTAGGGGACCTCGCCTCCTGCTCACAAGCACTGTCCCTCTGGGCTCTGCCCACCAGTCTCTCTCCCCATCCCAGGCCAGCGTGTCCTCCTTGTGCTGCTGGATCAGCCTCCCCACCAGTCCCCCTGCCTCCACTCTGCCCTGCAGCGGGGAGTGAGCTTCCTAAACTGCAGCTCTGGCTGCCCACTTTATGATCCCCTGTGCCTCCAGGCCATCCCTTATGGGTGGGGTCCCTCTCTCTCTCTCTCTCTCTCTGGACCTCCTCCAATCCCTTCCACACTTGTCCCCACGCAGTCCCACTGGCCGCTCACTGGTCCGCTTCCCCCACCACGGTGACCACAGGCTTTCTAGAAACAAACCATTTCTCCCCCTGCCCTGGGATTGGGTGGAGGCTGCTGGAAGACTGTGGGAAAGCCCGTCTCCACCTTGCATTCCAGGCCACTGATGAGCCCGTTTGTGACTCAGCCCGGCTCCTTACCAGCACGCACAACTTCTCTGAAAAGCCCTGAGATTTGCGGCCCTGCCTTGGGCAGAATCCATCAGGATTTACTCAGGTTTCAATTTCCCCAAGCTCCTTATGCTGGCCTCTGAGCCTCCTGTGAGCTTCCAGATCAGCAAGGCGCTAAGGATCTGCAGTAGAAGCTCTGGGACCCCACCCAGTCCCCTTCACTGGACCAGGGCACCCATCCCCCAGCTGTGGTTAGTGGAGGCTGCTAAGGGCTTTCTCTTGAGAATTGCTCTCAGCAGATAGGAGCTGCTTAGCTTGGAAATGTCTGGAAGGTTACACTCTCCCCTTGGGAGTGGCCCCTAGCTAACGACTGACTGATACAGGGTACAGAATCCTGGCCTCCTTGCCTCAACGGGGCACGACTCTGTTGCCATTCCTTCTCTAGAGCTCCCTGGGGATCAGGGTGAGGCTAGACTCCCGCTGGGACCACATCCTTGCTGAGCCCTGCTCAGCCTTCTCTGTCCCGCTTGCCTCCCTTCCCTTCTCCTGAGAGCTTCACCCCTGCTTCCCAATAAAGCACATGCACCTGAACGTCCATCTAGGCTGGACTTCTAGGGGATGCAACCTAAGACAGGGCCTTTGCACAAATATTGTCTTTTTCTAGACTGGAGGGCAAGGCCACACATCCTCCTGCCATAGGAGCTGGACCAGTGGGGATGCGGGGGGAGGGCGGGGGCAGGCACGAGGATGCTCACTCAGATGGGGTCCAAGAGGAGGGCAAGATGGGCCTGAGCCTCCCCTGGGCGGGCTCACCTGCTTGGACATGGAGTCAATGAGGCGCACATAGAGGTCCTGCTCCGTCCGAAGTCCTAAAGGTGGGGAGGTGGAGAGGGCTTGCTGTGGCTTCTAATGACTGAACCACACTCTGCACCCTTCCCACCTGGAGCCAGGCCCTCCTCAGCCCCGAGGGATGGGCCGCTATGTGTCACACAAGGTGCAGGGAACCTAGACCTCCTCTGGGCCCTGGCGGGAAGGGGCGGCGGGCCTCACTCACCATTGTTATACACCAGCCGAAGGCGGTAGTGGACCCCGTTGTTGGTCTTTTCAGCTCCAGGTTCCTGCATGGGGAGGACGCTCAGTGTCCCCACGGCTCCACCGGCCTCCCCTCAGCCTCCCTGCCTAATCCCAGCCTTCCTCCCTCCCTTCTAGACCTCCCACCCGCTTCTCCCCCCCCCTCCACCGGCTGTCCATCCGTCCGCCCCGTGGGAGGGGGTTCCCTGAAGCCCCCCCTCCCCCCCCACCCATGCTCTGGTCCCGTGAGCCCACGAGCCTCTCACTCGGTCCTTTTCCACGAAATCGATGAAGGCCGTGCGCTCCACCTCCACGGGCTGCCCCTGTCGGTCATACATGGCCAGCACGAAGTGGAAGAAGTTGGATTTCCTGAGGTTGGAGGGGGGCTGCTTCTCAAAATGTGCGCGCGCCAGGCCCACGCCGCTGCGAGGAGGAAAGGGGCTGGCAAACCACCGGACGCGCCCTCCCTCTCCGGGGAGAAAGGCCCCTGGGCCTCCGACCAGGTGGGGGGGCGGTGCTGGTCAGGGCGCGGTGCTGATGCTGCAAGAGTCTGGGCCAGAAATCAGATGGGATGGGCCCCTTCCACCCTTGCTAGGGATCTCGGTTCCAGACACGGCTCCCCGGACCAAGGTCACCCTAGCCTGCTCCCTTGGGAACAAGGGGCACAGCAGGCAGCGACCGGGGCACCCCTGCCAGGCCCCCTCCCAGGCTTTTCCCTGGGCCGCACGTTTTGAAAGGCTGATCTCTAAAACCAAAGGTACGAACAGCCCATCTAACTGACCAGAGACTCCTGTGACTGCCCTTTAGAGCATCAGGGGGCAGCTAGGAGGTTGTGGAACAAATAACCCAGGGTACCCCAGCCCACGCATTCGTGAACCTGTGGCATCGTCTGGGAGATAGTGGTGTCCCTCAGGCTCTCAGACACATTAAACTGGCTCAGGGCCACTAGTCTGCCCAGCCCGGAGTCTGGGCTGAAGGCAGGGGGTGCACCCCCGGGGTGTACAGGGACGGCCTTCACACAGTGGGAAAGATATACACTGGCTTCTTTGAGCAGAAGGACCTTCTGGTCTAGCCTCGCCAAGGGCGGTCACCTAGCTCATCAGAAATGACTCCTAGGGCACCTGGGTGGCTCAGTAGGTTAAGTGTCTGCCTTCGGCTTCAGGTCATGATCCCAGAGTCCTGGGATAGAGTCCCGCATTGGGCTCCCTGCTCAGCGGAGAATCTGTTTCTCCCTCTACCCCTCCCCCCTCTTTGTGATTTCTCTCTCTCACGTTCTGTCTCAAATAAATAAATAAATAAATAAGTAAATAAATAAAATCTTAACAAAAAGAAGAAGAAGAAAAGAAATGACTCCTAGAAGGGGCGCCCCGCTGGCTCAGTCGGTGGAGCATGCGAATCTGGATCTCAGGGTTGTGGGTTCGAGCCCCACCTTGGGTGTAGAGATTACTTAAAAATAAAATCTTAAAAAAAAGAAAAGAAAAGAAAAGAAATGATTCCTAGAAGCAAGGCCCTGGCAAGAGCAGGAGGAGAAAAACAAAGGCCCGATTCACCAAGTAGTTCCTCAGCCCCAGCGATGTACCAAGCCCCAGACACACGGCACTGAGTGGGGCCAGAATTAAATGTCTGGAAGGTTAGAACTAGATATAGAGAGCTATAACACAAGACAAAGTGGTGGGTGCCCCTCAAAAGATGTTACATACCAAAAAAAAAAAAAAAACCCCAAAACAAAACAAAAAACAACGCATAGTAGCAAAGGAAGAAAACAATGAATTCTTTCTGTGAGAGATGAGGGGAAGCCTTCATGGAGATGGTGGCTTTTCCCCTGGTTCTTGAGGAATGAGTAGGAGCTCAACAGTTGCAGCAGGCAAAGGGGCAGAACAAACAGCGTAAGAAATGGCTGTGGGTGTGAAGGTTGGTGTCGCTTGGACCACAGATTTTAGAAAGTTAAGTGAAGAGAAGAAAAAGTTGCATTAGAAGTGCCAAGTCTGGAGAGACACAAAAACTAGGCCACGAGTTTAGACTGTCTCCTCTGGGCCAAGGTCTTGAAAAGAGTGCTCCTTACGTCTCTCATGGCTTCAGATCCTCCCCCTACAAAAGGCAGCTATGGCCACCATTGCTGGGAAATGAGGCTTCACAGAGTGCACAAGTGTATGTAGGGGGCCCTGGGACACCCTCCAGGAATAGACTCTGCTTGGCTCAGGCTGGCTCCCCGTGTGTGGTAGCCAAGATGGTGCCCCATGATCCCCACTTCCTGGTATTTATGCTGTTGTGTAGTCCCCTCCCAGACTGTATCAGGGTTGGTCCGTGTGGCCAGTAGAATATGGCACAAGTGACAGCAGATGATTTCCAAGGTTATAAAAGGTCATAAAAGACCTTGTTCTGTTGGATCAGCAACCAGGGCAAAGCTGGCTGCCATGTTGTGAGGACACTCGAGCAGCCCTGTGGAGGGTCTACATGGAGAAGAACCAAGGTCTCCTGCCCACAGCCAGCACTTAGCTTGTCAGCTGTGTGAATGAACCACCTTGGAAGAAGACCCACCAGCTCCAGCGAAGCCTTCAGATGACTGCAGCCTCAGGAGAAGCCCGAGCTGCTCCCTCACTCCTGACTCTCGAGAAACTGTGTGAGGTAATGGGTGTTTGTTGCTTGACACTGCTGAGTTTTGAGCTAATTTTTTTATGCACCAATTCTGCTGAGGGCTATGGCTTGAGAAATACAATGAAAGGCCACCAGAAGGTTCTGAAGCCAGGCAGAGCTTAGAAGATGCTGCCCGTGGGGAGGGCGCAGTGGGGGTGGGAAAGCGAGAAGCGGCCGCAGGGAAGCAGAGAGGATGTGGATGGTAGTACTGCCTTGAACCATTCAGACCAGAGTCCCATCATGGACACGTCACTGCCACTGCGGAAACATCTGCCATATTCATCACTCCTTAATGTTGTTCATATAATTTTAAATCAACTTACTCTTACTCTGCTTCACACAAAACCATAATATCTGGGATATTCTGGCTTGAGGGGCTTGTGTTTTTACTCGTACATGTTACAGTGAATACCTAAACTTTAAAAGGACAATTGTCCCATCTCCTTAAGCCTGCTTGGGAGCCTCACCGGTCCTTGTGAAATGTTGATTTCAGGGGCAGAAGTGATGGGTCTTGCTGGTTTCTGATCAAGAGGAGCTGGAGGGGACCACCGACACCTTCTCTTCCCCACCAAAGGTCCTTTCTACACGTGTCCCTTCCTCCAGGGACGTCCTCCTCCCTCGAGCTTCCCACCTCCTCTGCCCTCTCCTCCCCTCCCCCTCAGGCGACAAAGTCCTTTCAAGTCCTGGCCTTGACCCTCCAGCTTCCCATTTGCCAAGTGGCAGGGAAGCCCAAAGAGCTTTGATCACAGCAGGTCCCTGATTACTGCTGATGAATATGCTAATGAGGCAGCAACCCTGACTCCTCCTTCTGGCCCCAGGACCAGTTTAGGGGGAAGAGGAGCTCCCTGGGTCAGGTTCCAGGACCACCTGAGGAGAGAAAAGGCGGAAGGGGGTGGGCTTGTGGAGCCCTCCCAGATCACTATGCCCTTTATTCTGTCAGCTAGGCCAGGAGAGGTGCCTGGAAGGCTCTCACACAGCAGGGCTGGAGGGTACGGAAAAAGGGGCCTTCACAGAGGAGGGGTGGATGCTGAGCAATAACCTAATCCCCTACACCGCTCAATACGCCCTTTCTTCACAGACACCCCTCCACTTCCAGGCCAAGAGTAAATCAGTGATGCTGGCATGAGTTCTCTCTCTCGTCCATCCCTCTTGGCAAATATCAGTCAGTCCTGGGTCCTGGCTGCGTGTCAGCTCCTGCCGGGCTTCTAAGGACCAGACCTGGGAAGTCTGGCCCAAGTCCCAAGCCAAACCCCCTTCACAGGGCTGCCCTCCATACAAGAGGGGATTCCTGGGGAGAGAGGTCAGGAAACCTAGGGAGAGGAAAGATGGCAGGTATCCCTGCTCCCCCCCCCCCCGCCCCCACAGCCTGGGGCCTATGGACCGGTATCCAGTGCCGCCAGCTGGGGGTTGGGTGGGAGCCTCACTGCCTCACATGCTTATGCCCAACCCCAAAGTGGGGTAAGGCTCAGGTCTACTTCTCCTGAGGCAGCGCAGCATCATCCTCCCTTCCCCACCTTGCTGAGTGGGTCTGAGGCACCCTCCTCCTCCTGGGCTCACACGCATCCAGGCAAAACAATGGGACAGGTGGCTAGTTTACAGCTCCTAGACAGGATTACTATCAAAATCAAGGACAGAACAATAGGAGTATTATAGCTCCAACCCCTGCCCCCCCGACCGCCGCAGATCAGGAGAGGACTCCAGAGTGGGCAAGACCGCTGTTGGGCATACCCAGGGCTGCTCCTGGTCTGGGAATGTCTCCAGTTTACCCTGTTCATACCCCTGCTGGACATGTGAGAGGCTCAAGGTGAAACAGAAAAACTTTTGCTTTAGAAAGTCATTCTCGTATTTCCTATGACCAAGAGACAGACAATGACAGAAGGATCAATCCATCAGCAAGAATGTGGGGTAGCTCTGGACTATCCCTTCCTTCTCCTAGTTCCCCCGTGTACCTCTACCCCCAATGTGCAGCAGGTGACCAATCCACATGCCTAAATGGAAGTGCGAGCCTCAAAGGGAGAGGGTTGGGGAGCGGACAGACTTTAGCTCTTCCCTCCCTGGGAAGAGCTGGATGCTCTTGTAATGAGAAAACAAACCAAGATTAAAGAATAGAAAGAAAGAAAAAGAGATTCACTCAAACAGCTCAGAAAATGGACACAGGGGATGCAGAGAGGTCGGAGAGCCCCTGCTGGGTGCAGATGTGGGGTGGGGTGGGGGGTGGGGCCCCTGCGGGCTCTCATACTAGCTTAGAGACAGAGAGATGTGGATGAAGGCCAGTATCTCCGATTCTGCGGTCTCCCACTGGGGTGTGGGGAGAAATTGCAAGCATGTCCACTGATATGAATCCCTTATCGAAAAGAAAAAAGGGGAAGCAGGAGTTGGGTCCCTGAAGCCTGGAGAGGCAAGGATTCAAATGCAAACAGTTAATGTGGGAGATGATCCCCGCAAACACTTGGGCGGGCTGGAGAATGAGAAAGAGAAGTCAAGGCACTCGGTAAAAGGGTGCTCTATCCACAAGTTACGGCTGGGGGCCACTGCAGCTCCTCAGTCCAGCTGGGAGCTCTGCAAACAGTCTAGAACAGGCGCTTCGGAGGAGGGAGCTGGGGTAGTTATCCGCCAATTTCAGTTAGTCGTTGGTGGAGGGCTCCTGGGCCGCCATTGCTCAGGAACTTCTGGCCCCGGATGCAGGTGGGCAGAGCAGGCTCCGGCAGATGCTAGCAGGGGAAGCAGACCCCTTACCAAGGGTCCTGAGGGGAGAGGAGCGGGGTACCAACCACCGGCCATCCAGAGGT